AATACAAAAAAAAAATATATATATGTTTTGTCCAATCATTTGTTGTTATGAAAATGTATCATGTAACGCTATTGGTATATAAGTAATGTGTAAGTACAAAAAAAAAAATTGTTTTGTCCAATCATTTCTTGTTATGAAAGTGTGTAAGTATGCTAACATGAATGTAAGAGAATAAATAAGGCCATATGGATTAAAAACAATGCTAATATGAATGTAAGAGAATTAATAAGGCTATGTGGATTAAAAAAAACCATTGGATATAATTTATGTTAAAAGAGAGTAAATTTAAATTATTAGATTTATTAGAACTAAAAAGGCCAAAAGAAAAACAAGTAAATAGGTGAAGCGTGCAAGTAAATTGGAGAAAAAAATTGAGGAATGTGCTATTATTCTCCTTTCTTATATAGTCTATAGATATAAGAATTATTCAGAAATTTTCTTGTGTAATATTTTGTTACTCAAATTTTATAATGTAAGGTTTGTACCCCAAACTATGAAATGTTATCGGAAAAAATCCATCTATTAGGATTCTTCATGGAAAGTAACACTCAATCCCTCATGGTACTTGGGGGCATTTTGAAATCGACTCTTACTAATAATCTCAAGTAATTGGCAAAGATTGATCTCTGAACTCTTTAACAGATGATACGTTGATACTCGTTCTTTAAATTTTGTGAAAAAGACCTTAAACTTAATGGTGTTGGCAATGATCAATGTCCATTCATGTCATTTTCTTAAAATAAAACTAACAAGGGTCCTATTTATACAAGTAGCAACTCTACATCAAAATCCCAGGGAAAATCTAATTCCTAATGTTTAAAATAATCCTAAGAGATAAAGCTAAGTAAATGCCAAAAATTAAATATGATTTTAACTTTAGATTATTAATGTAAACTAAATCCTAATCAAATATGACTTCATGGAACTTTGCTATAAAGTATCTCAAGAGTTTTATAAAAAGTTTTGTTATACACGATCCGCTAGATACACGCTTCTGCATCCAAAATCATTTTCAAAATCAACATTTTCTCCATTGTTTGTTGTCTTTTTTATTTATTTAATTGTTTTAGTTTACATTTTATTTTTATTCAAAATAATTCTCTTTTCTGATATTCAAATAAAACACAAGATGAGGCTTATGATTTATTAGAGGTGGCGATGAATAATTATCAATGACCTAGTGAGAGAATTTTATTTAAGAAGGTGGCTGGAGTTTATGAGATAGATGCCATCACCGCCTTAATTGCTCAGGGTGCCTCTCTTACTAAACAGTTGCATAATAGCCATCTCGCAGTTAATGCCATCCAAGCTTGATCGCTATCAGTCTGTGAACTGTGCCATGGGAACCATCCAAGTGAAGAATGTCAAATGGGAAATCCCTTCTCCAAATCTCAGCTAGAGCAAGTGCACTATGTTTCAAACATCAACCGTCAGAACAACAATCCTGGATGGAGGAATCATCCCAACTTCTCATGCCTATCTGGATTTCCATCGCAAGTAGAGAACCTCGGACTTGAAGAAGCACTGCTTCAATTAGTCAACAATACTAATCAATTCATGACAGAGACTCTCCCAGAATCAAGCTGCTTCGGTCCGAAATTTGGACGTCAAAGTTGGCAAATATGCTCAATTGTAGAGAGTAACGTAACTTGCCAAGCACAACTGAAGTTAATCCAAAAGAGCACTATATGGTAATTACTCTGAGAAGCGGGAAAGAAGTAGAAGCACCCATAAAAACTTGAGAAGCCCAGCAAGGATGGTAAATGGGCGTTAACTTTTGTAGAAACGCCCATAGTGAAGAATACTGAAGATTTCCCCAAGGTTCAAATGTTGCCCATTTCCTCAACGTCTCCAAAAAAGCCAGTTAGATAAGCAATTTTCAAAGTTTGTTGGAGGTCTTCAAGAAATTACGCATAAATGTCCCCTTCGCAGACGATCTTGAACAAATGTCTAGCTATGCTAAGTTCATGAAATGGGTATTGTACAACAAAAAGAAGTTGAAGGATTATAAGATGGTGACTCTAAATGAAGAGTGCAGCAATTTTGTACAAGAAGTTGCCACCAAGCTGAAAGACCCAGGAAGTTTCCATACAACTTGCACCATTGGTCCTTGTAAGTTGAAAAAGCCTTGTGTGATTTGGGAGCAAGTGTGAATCTAATGTCACTTCTGTGTTAGAAAGCTGGGACTGGGAAGCCAACTGCAGTGTCATTACAGCTAGCCGATCGATCAACTAGGCATCCGAGGGGAGTGTTGATCCATGGAAAATGTGCTGCTGAAAGTAGGGAAATTATTTTTCTGGCGAACTTCGTAGTGTTACATATGGAAGAAGACCAATATATTTCTATAATCCTGGGTTGACCATTCCTAGCTACAGGGAACACTATAATCAATGCACCGAAAGGAGAGATAAGTTTGGAGGTGGAAGATGAGAAAGTAACCTTTAAAGTGTTCAAAGAACTCAAGGCTCAACCGGAATCAGATTCTTTTTTCCGATTGACACAACAGATATGAAGGATTTTGAAAAGAATATGGTGAATGTTATTGAACATGTTAAAGAGCCGGATAAAGCATGTAGAGTCCACCTTGAACCTACGAAAGCTAGTAATGAATATGCGGCAATTGCATCAAATTACTGTCAGGGAAGGATGGTGAAGTTTGAGGACCCAGGAAAAGAATCTTCTGGACCATGGCAGATTCGATTCTACCATACTGATGTGAGTGGCAGAAGAGAAGACAAAATCCCTACTGATCAACAAGCATGGAATAAGCATAAGTTTGCATGGGGCTGGTCCATTGATGATATATTCAAAGGACGGATTTGAGTAGAAAAAGGAGAAGGGTCCTGTTGAAGACGTTAAACCAAGAGCTTATGGGAGGCAACCCAAGTTTATTTTAATTGTCATTCTTGTTTCCGAAAAACAAAAACAAAAACAAAAACAACCGTGGCTGAAGGGGAGGAATGACGAATAGTCAGGTAACATTTCTTTACATGCTTTCTTGTTATTTTCCTTGTTTTCTTACATTGAGGACAATGTTAATTTCAAGTTTAGGGGTAGAATTAATTGTCTTTCTTTTTTTCTTGTTTTGGTTTTATTTCCCTTGTTTTGTCTTGAAAAAAAAAAAGCTATTTTAAGCATTTGTTTTGATAAGTAGAAGCCAATGATAAGAATTGTTGGGAATGATGTCCAAAAAGCTGACGAGATATTGGATGAGTGTATTACAAATAATGAGATTATGTGGAACCGGAACACAAACACAATATAAATTTCTGATAATTTCCGTTAAGTATAGAAATTATAATTGAGTCATCCGATGGTTATATATAGATTTGTGTCTTTTGATTTACTCAGTACGGATTCTGAGATGTTGAATCTTATTCTATTTTTAGTTTTCATTATGTTCTAAGTTTTTCATTCTAGGGTGACTATGGATCCTACCATGAATTTTTAATTTCCAATTCTCAGATGTTTTAATTCAAGTGATTGTTCTATCTTGTTCTTAATGCGTTTAATTGATTTGATCACCCAATTAATCGATTTGATTATTCTTAACCAATTTGGAAAAGGAGGTTAGAATTGTTATCTTTGATAGAATAACGTTATTTGATTGAGAAAATAGGAATATACTCATGAGATTGATGCAGTAGTCATTCGAAAACCATAAATCATAATACTTCTTGCTTGTTCAATTTTGCATAAGAATATAAAAAATTGAGTCGGCGAGTTTTATATTGTTACTTAAATTGGAAGAGGCCAGTAATAATCTTTAGAGTCTTCAACTGTCACTTGAGGAAATATTCGAGTTTAGGAATATAATTTTGGGGAATTACTAAGCATTGGGAAGGTGAAATTTAATTCCTAAATTTTTCTTATATTGGTCCTTCATAACTTTATTATTCCATTATTTAATTAATTTAGAATTTATAATCACACTTTGAAATCAATCTGTTAGATAAAATTAGAACTTCTATAATTTCAGTACTTAGTAGAATTTTATTTATCAGTCTTCGTGGGAATGATTCTGTACTCTATCACTTTATTACTTGTATGCGATATTGTACATTTGTAATTTTTACAACAAGTTTTTGGCGCCACTGCCGGGGATTGATTTAATTAATTTTCTACTCATATTGATACTAAGTAATTCTAGTTTTAATTTAACTTTTCTTTCGTTCTTTTTTTCCTCATCTCAAGTGTGTTAGTGTATGCTACGCTCCAAAAACATTACATTGCCACCATTTGATCCTGAGATAGAACGTACTGTTAAAGCCATCAAATGACAGAAACGACAACTACGAGAAGAAGAAAATATGGCTACAAAAAAGAAGATAATACAAAAGCTTTGAGGGACTTTGCAGTTCCTCGATTGAATGACACAATCTTTGGAATTTTACGGCCTGCCATTCAAGCTAATAATTTTGAGATTAAGTGGTGCAGTCGCAGCTGTGAGGGTTCTCTGGCTAAACCAGATGGGAATGGTTTCAAGACCCAACGCTAAAACAAAAGGGAAACGACAACAAGAAGAAAGCAATCTGTGGCAATTTTCAGTAATAATTCATTAAGTTCTAAAAACGTCTAACAAATAGCTATTTATAGCTTAAAGGAAAACAACAACCGACAATAAGCAAGCCTGCGTTCTAGTTAGAGAAAAACGACAATAAAGTGGCCAAACGACAACAAACTCAAAGCCAACATTAATTGAGTGGAGCTTGCCCTGCATCATTAAGCCAGGCACAATTCAGATGATTCAGACATCAGTGTAATTTTTTGGCTTGCCGAATGACAATCCAACTACTCATATAGCAAATTTTCTGGAGATTTGTGATACCTTTAAATACAACGGGGTTTCTGATGACGCAATTCGGTTGAGGTTGTTCCCGTTTTCATTAAGGGACAAGGCGAAAGAGTGGCTCCATTCATTGCCTAATGGAATCATTACTACGTGGGATGCACTAGCACAGAAGTTTCTAACCAAATTTTTCCCACCTGCTAAAACTGCTAAGTTGAGGAATGAGATTACGCAATTCACTCAGCAAGACTTGAAATCTTTATATGAAGCGTGGGAAAGATTCAAAGATTTGCTCAGAAGATGTCCCCATCATGGTATCCCAGATTGGCTACAAATTCATATATTTTACAATGGTCTGAATGGGCAGACAAGAACTATAGTTGACGCCGCATCTGGAGGAGCTCTAATGACCAAGACACATACTGATGCTTATGCATTATTGGAAGAAATGGCGGCTAATAATTATCAGTGGCCATCAGAGAGAGCGCTAGCCAGGAAACCTGTTGGGGTACATGAAGTCGATCAATTAACTGCTTTGACCGCTCAAGTAGCGGCTCTTTCACGACAAATTGGTCAAATGAACGTGAATGTAATTGCTACTCCGACAGTTACTTGTGAATTCTGTGGAGATGGCCATTCTAGCATGGAGTACACGATCGGGAATCCGACAATTGAGCAAATGCAGTATGTGGGCAATCCTCGACCGCAATACAGGAACAATAACAACTTTATGCCCAACACATACCATCCAGGTTTGCGCAATCATCCGAACTTCTCCTGCAGAAATAATCAAAATGTCTGCCAGCCGTAACCTCTTCAAACCCTACAGCCTACTCTGCCACCACCTGGTTTTCATCCGTAAGCTGAGAGCAAGCCCTCTACTGACGAGTTGTTATCCCAGTACATGACCAAGAACGATGCCACAATTCAAACTCTGGTTCAACTAACTCAGAACCTTGTTGCGTCACAAAGAAACATGGAGGTACAAATAGGCCAATTGGCCAATGAGGTGAATTCTCATCCACAAGGTAATTTTCCAAGTTCCACTGAGACAAACCCCAAAGAGCAATGCAAGGCAATTACCCTCAGAAGTGGAAAAGAATTAAAGGAGCCGGCAAGAAAGAGAGAAGAAGAGACATATGGTAAGAAAGAAGCTGATGTGGAGATTTCAGAAGTTCTAGAAAAAGAGACTGAACAGGGGGCCAAAAAACCCGCAACTAAATTGTTTATGAACAATCCTCCACTATACACTCCTCTGCTCCCATTTCCTTGGAGATTTCTGAAGCAGAAACTGGACAAACAATTTTCAAAGTTCCTGGATGTTTTCAAGAAGCTTCAAATCAACATCCCATTCACGGACGCATTAGAACAAATGCCCAGTTACGCTAACTTTATGAAGGAGAGTTTAACAAAGAAGAGGAGATTGGCAGATTTTGAGATAGTGAAGCTGACAGAAGAATGCAGTGCCATTTTACAGAAAAAGCTTCCGCAAAAGGCCAAAGATTCAGGGAGTTTCACTATACCTTGCACTATTGCTAATGCTTATTTTGATCAAGCTCTGTGTGATCTTGGTGCCAGTGTTAATTCAATGCCTTTCTCTATTTATAGGAAACTAAGAGTGACGGATGTGAGCCAATTACTACTGTGTCACTTTAATTTGCTGACAGGTCGATCAAAGGGCCACAAGGGATTATTGAGGATGTTCTAGTGAAAGTGGATAAATTCATCTTTCCGGTGGATTTCATTGTTCTAGATATGGATGAAGATGAAGAAATTCCAATTATAGTTCGTCGACCATTCCTCGCTACTGGTAGAACCTTAATTGATGTGCAGAAAAGGGAACTTGTTTTGAGGTTCAAAGATGAGAAAGTAGTTTTCAATGTCTTCAAGGCGATAAATTACCCATCAGAGACTGACTACTGCATGCGGCTTGATACTATTGAGCAGGCGATACAAGAAGCTGAAGACATTAGTAGCTTGTCGGACTTGATTGAAGAATGCATTAATATGGAGACTCGTGATGATTTCATCAGTACTATGTCAGCATCTGAAAAAGAACCAATCACTGAGAAAGTTTTAATAGCTTCGATACATCCGGCACCTACAAGTCAGCTACCTTCTGTTGACCAACCACCGCAGCTTGAGCTGAAACCTTTGTCATCTCATTTACGGTATGCGTTTCTTGGTGAAAGTTATTAAGACCTCGTTCACTTCACCGATTCGAGTTTTTAGTTTTAAGTTTCTACAGTAAAAAGCTCTCAGAAAATGTCACAACAAAATTTTTTACTACAGTAAAAAGCTCTCAGAAAATGTCACAACAAAATTTTTTACTACAGTAAAAAGCTCTCAGAAAATGTCACAACAAAATTTTTTACTACAGTAAAAAGCTCTCAGAAAATGTCACATCTCAGCTCGAATTGAAAACTCGAATCCGCGAAGTGAACGAGGCCTAAAAAACACAAGAAAGCAATTGGATGGACTATTGCTGACATCAAAGGCATTAGCCCATCTATTTGCATGCATAAAATTCTCATGAAAAATTACTACAAGCCTAGCATTGAGGCACAGAGAAGACTGAATCCAGTTATGAAAGATGTAGTCAAGTTTTTCGAGGAACTGGTGCAGCAGTATCTACTGGTTCCAACCGTAAGTGTTCCCTACTTTCCTTAAACTTAACCACTAAAAAAAGTTTTTGTAAGATTATACTTATTTCTAACCATTTTTATAAAAGTTAATGAATCCAATTGTTTGTTTTTCTACAATGTATAGATAAATAGATCATATTTAAAGAAAAAAAAAAAGTTTTGATTAGATCATTAAATAGAAAATTAATCAAAAGTATATATGAGAAAGGAAACGATGTTTGCGTACATGCATATTTAAAAAATAATCGCATTTCAGCAATTAGGGGGAAAAATAATGAATGTATATGAAATTGAAAACAAATTAGGAGTACCTATAAAAAGAAAGAAACATTCTAAAAAGTGCACAGATTTGAGAAAATTTATTTTAATGGAATAATTAGTGAAAACAAAAAAAAAAGAGTATAAAAAGCCATACGATACAAAATAATAGTGATTATAATTAAAGATTATTTAAGAGGGGACACATTTAGAAACGAAAAATTATTTTAATATAAACATATTAAAAGAAACTTACTTAAATAAATACACAAAGTTTTGGGGAAGACGGAAAAATATAAGTAAATATAATATAAAATTGTAAAAAGTACACATCCTGAACTTGTCTTGAACAAGTGAAAAAAAAAACCACAAAAAGACAAAATAAAGAGATCAAATTTTTGAATAGTAACCAGAGGAGTTCCCCTTTATATATGTAATAATATATATATATATATATAATAGATAGATAGTTATATCGTAATAGATTATACTTTGGTTAGTAGGGTGGATGGTAATTGCCAATGAAGTTGAGAATAGGTCATACAATTATTACTTTCTCTTTCTCCAACTATACGATTATTACAATGATCATACATAATGAAATATAAATTCCAGTATATAAAATATACAAAATTTAACATTTTAAAAATCTAGGAGTTATCGGAATAAAATTCATTCACGAAAAACAATCAAAAAAGCAACCCGTTACCAACAATAAGATATCTACCAACCTGGTAGAAGATACATACGAACAATAAAATAAAGATAATTTGACAACAGGAAAAATGAAGAAAAACAAATAAACACCAAGCTTTTCCTTTGTGTGATCAAACTACCCTTTTGTGTGAGATCTCACGAACGACTCCTTTATATCAAACCACCCGTTTGTCTGCCTTCACAAACTATACACGTCAGAGAATTTTCGGGTGCGTTTGGAGTAAAAATCCGTGTCATAGTTTGGATCATGATTCGTAATTTGTTACAGTGTTTTTTCTTATAAAAAATACACGTAAATTAAGAATAATTCTGAATCCATAAACCAAACGTTCCCTTCAATTTGTCTTGAATGCCAAAGAACAAAAAATCGTGAAAAGGTAGCCTCAAAAGAATGAATTAAAAAATAAAAGAAGAGGGAAAAGATAAACCGTGGAAAAAAAAATCAGAATAAATTCAAATCATTAAAGACAAAAAAAATAAAATCGGGTTAAAATAGGAAAGTAAATATATACTTTATAATGAAAAAAATCGGAATAAAGAAAGTAAAAACTAACCATATAAATAACATGTCTAAAATACTCAATAAAGATAAATGGAGAAAAAATAAGTGTTATAAAATTGCAATCAGCATTTTTGTAATATTATACAATAGTTGATACTTTTACAAATGCAGCTCCAAAATTAGGCATTTTATGTAAGAGACTTTTTTAGTAGGCCGTCTTATCAGTAAGATTAGTTTTTAACCGTTAAATTTAATTAAAATTAAATGAGATTAAAAAATATGCATAACAGATAATTTTTTATACAAATTTAACCGTTGAAATTTAATTAAAATTAAATGAGATTAAAAAAATATGCATAACAGATAATTTTTTATATAAATTTAACCGTTGAAAATAATTGAAAAAACTATAAATAATACTATTTTTTTGATCCTATGAGAAAAATTCCCTTTATGTAATTATTTCTTAAATAAATTAGCATTTGGAAGACTTTTGGAAACGCTGCACTAAGGTTGATCTTATTGGGAGATGAAATACTGGAGTCAAAAGTTTCTAATGATGGCTCTCCAAACTTGTACTTTTTTCACTTTTTATTTGAGAGTTTTAATATTGTAGTTTTTAAGAACTACTAAATACATATAGAAAATTTGACAATGTAAAAAGAAAAATGTTGATAGAGTATTGTCTTAAAACGTCATATTGATATAAAAAAAAAACTATTTATTATGCATATTTTTTATTTTAATATGATTTTGACTAGACCAATAAGAATACCCTACTATAAAAGGTATTTTTCATTTTTATACTTAAAATGATAAAAAAATCATGCAATATTATAATTTACAGTTGACCATATTTATGCTTTCAGATTTCTAATTTATGTTAACTTCTTGCCTTTCCTCGATCAACGGTCAATTTTGACCACTTAAAGAGCTAAATGCCATTAATAATTTTTTTTTTATTATATTAAAAAAATATATAGAATAAATAATTTTTTATACATATTTAATGACTGAAAATAAGGAATTTTAATAGTTTATTTTTTTTTTATCCTACCAAAAAAACTCCTCAATTAATAAAATAAAAGTGAATGAAAAAGGAACTACCGATAATTCTCTATCTTTAACCGTCATATCTATATCAATAACTGTTTGTTCTATATACTTTTTTAATTTAATTTAATTTAATTCTTACT